AGCGTGCTCGTCTCGGGGAAAACGCCAACCCTCCGGTCAGGCCCCGCTTCGTAGGTGCTGTTTCTTGCGTTCGTTATGGACCTCGGTACACTCAGTTCCTAACCAACCTCCGCCCCCACCTCATCCGCCCGCGTCCGCCTGGCGCTTCATCATCAAAGCGGTGGGTCGGCCAGGCGATGCAGGTCGGGCACGCCGCCTTCACGGCAGCCGACGGCGCGGACGCCATTGCGGCGGAGCCCACTTGCTGCGGGCGCGGCTGCGGGCGACGGGGGGTCGCGCGCTGCCGCGGTGGCGGCCCCGACTGCAGTCGCTTGCCCTGCGACGCCCACGGCACGGCGGTCGCGGAGGTGGGCGCAACGCTTTGGTTCTGCGACGCCTGCGCGGACCACTCGAGCGGCACGCCCGTCTCTCTGCTCCACTGGGCGGCGTCGAAGCAGCCAGGGGTCCCAGCTTGTAGGGGTGTTGCCTTGACGCCCGCCTTGTGCAGGGTGCAGGTCAAGTGCAGGCTCCCCGTTGCAAAGGAGTGGGAAGCAGCTCACCCGCGACCCTCCCTCTGCCACCAGAAGGGTCGCAGCGTCACGGAATTTGTTCTCCTGCAGGCATCAGAACCAGAGTCGGCAAAGGCGCCGGGTCGCCGCGTGCAATCTGTCGTCTGCTGCAAGACATGACCGACTATTATGAAAGTGGGGACTGTCGCCGCCTGTGGCACAGGGCGCGTAAAGCTAATTTCTCTCTAGACGTTCTGTGCGTGTTTCTGAAACAGTGCCAGGCCCAACGGTTCGTGACGCACGAGCGAGCAACCGTGATCACAGGGTGCCCGCGGCATTGCGGCGAGTTGCTCGTGGGCCGCCTACCTGGTGCGAGTCGATGCATCTCAGCCTTGTATGGATTGGCAGGTGGAGCACCTTAGGTTCCCCCTCCCCCTCTTTAAAGATGACCTCCACATCAGAGTTACGGATGATGACTCGGACGTGGTGGTCCGCGTAATTTAGAAAGGCGTTGTCTCTTTGGCCAAGGTGATCGAAGATGAGTCGGGCCATTCGATTGCTCCGCGCAAGTCGATCACCGTAGCCAATTCCGACGGACTTCGCAAGAGGATTGCAAGGTTGCGCGGCCCCATCGCCGGGCGCGTGGCCCTATCCGCTAAGACCTTTGGTGTCGAGCTGGCCGTGGGCAATTGAAGGTGCCGCAGGTATAGCCGCCTGGCGCTGCGCGAACGTTCTGGCACACTTCAGGCACGCAAGCGGCGGTTAGCTGCTCTGCGGAGAGCTGCATAAACATGCGTACGCTATTTACCACTGGGTTGGACTCGTATGGCACGTATGGTGTAGAAGTCACCGGGGTCGATGCGGTCCAATTGCGCCAGTTGCAGTCTTTCTAAGTGTCCATAGCCGGCCCCCGAGGCGATTGCCGTTTGCGGTCAATCTCACCGTCCCTACTTGAGGACCCGACGTGGCGCCAAGGGCTGGCCCTGGCTCTTCTGTGGGCCAAGATCGCATGGCGTGCCGGCGCACATATGTCCGCGCACCGCCATTTCCCCGCGCCTCGCCTCCTCTCCCTCGCGGCTCGCTGCAATCCTCTCCCTCCGGCGGATCGGGTGGGAGATGCATTCGGCGCTTGTTTGTTTGCAAGGGCCCGACAGGCAAGCTGTGGCCCCTTGCTGCCTTCCCCCCCGACTTGTTGGAGAACGAAATTAAGGCTGCGGGGCCAGGCGCCTATTTGCGCGCCATCGGCAAAAAACTTGGTCCGGAGGCAGGTGGCGTGTTTGATTTGTCGGTCGCCCGGCTGGTCCTTTATTGTGGGGGCCTTTCGAAGCAAGATGCGGTCATTTTGTTGTCTTTTCTATGCCGGTCCGTTTGGACCGGGCGTAAGTTGCAGCGGGCAGGTTATGAGGCGTCCGCTGTTTGTGCGTGCGGCGGCCCGTCTGATTGCTTATTGCACTTCGCCGCTGCCCCCTTTTCGCCCCAGTGCGGGCGGAATGGTTGGTGCGGGTGGATGGTCAGCTCATTCGCGACGTGCCCAACAATTTCCCAGTCGTTTTCGGCTTCCTGGCACTGCCTAGCTTCTCTGAAAATGCACCGCGTGGGTCGGGCACCGCGCCGCGCCGCTCGTTCTGCGCGGGTGCCTCCCGAACGGTGCTGGAGGCGTTTGTGGGGGAGGTCTTCACAGATGGCTCTTGCCTGAAGGACGGCCCCGCGGAATTCCATATCGCTGGCTGGGCTGTCATTAATTGGCAGTTGGCGGTGATCAGTTTGCTGCCCTCCGAGGTCCGTGGGCTCGCGCTACCCGCGGACCTCATCGGCCGCCGAGCATGTGGCTGTCCTGGCCGTTATGGAACTCTGCCCGCAGGCGCAGGCTATTCATTCGGATTCCTCGGGCCTCGCTCGCTTGTCGAAAGCCCCGTGGGGCCAGATCGCACTGAGGCGCCACGGGTGCGCAGGCATCCGCAAACAGAGCGCGGGCGATGGCGCTGCCCTGGGCGCCGCCAGCTCCGGCCATGCGCGCGGCCGGCGTGGCGGGGCAGCAGCGCAGGTGGAGGTGGAGGCGCCAAGGTTACTGGACTTGCCTCCGCTGCCAGCGGCGCAGCGCCAAAAGCAGGGTGGAGCCAGCGCGCCGTCTGCCCGCCCAGCCAACGCTCGACGGGCGCGCTGGTGCCTTGCCCATCCTCCGTCCTTTCTTCCATGGCCAGCGCGGGCGCGGTCTCTTTGCGGCGGAGCACCCCGCTGGCATTTAAATCATCTGTCAACCACCGAGCGCTTTCCACTACTCGCGTAGTGCCGACTCGCCAACGTCAGAAAAAAGACACGTTCGCCTCGACGTAATATAGTGTAAATCCCCCACGCGCCGGACCCAGGCCATCTGCGAGTAGTGGCTCTGCGAGAAGTGGAACGTGCTTACCTACTCAAGCACGTGGCAATTACTCTGACGATGCGCGCGCGCTAAAATCTGGATGACAGGTGCCGCCCTGCCGAACTTTCCCGTCGCGCGGTAACCAGGGGAATAGTGCTCGCCAGGGGCAGTCATCGAATTGCTGGCGCGGGAGCGGGGTAATTCTTGGCGGTAAGATGCCCTTCGGCGCGCTGCTCGCGCCCCGTGGTGAATCGGGCTCCCTGGCGAGCCAGGCCCCGTTTTGTGCCTCCGCCTCCTCCGCCGCAGCTTCATTCGGTTGCTTCCCTCCCAATATCATTATCCGGCCTTTTGCTGCGAGTTGCCGCCAGACCCCGCCTCTCCAGAGGTCCGCCCTCCGCCGCGATCCTGCGGGCACTTTGTTTAAAAGGTGATCGCATGTGCAGCCCCCCGTTTGAAGGGGGGCAGGTCGGTTTTCTTCCGACGGGCAGGAGAAGGTTAGCCTAATGGCCGCCACCCTTGCCAGTTTTACCTTGGCCTGCGCCGCTTTGCGCGCTTCGCGGAGGTAGATGCTCCGATCGTGGTGTTTCTGTCTTGCGGGAGGGGTCACAATGCTTCGGGCCCGCCAGGCACTGCGTCGGGCCGCCCCATATGTGTGTGGCATCGGTGTGACATGTTTGACAACAATTTCATTCTTGCAAAACGAGTCTGGCTCCACCCCAATCTGCATGGCCAAGCGCTGGGCGACCAATTTTTGAGTGAATGGCCGCCCGCCGGCCCCAGATTTTCCCCCAAAGTGGTCGCCAGTCCCTTTGCACAATAGGCCAAAGCATTAGGGTTAGTACCAGCCAAGGGAGGGGGTCTTCCATTTGGAATACGACATGTGCGCTACATTGGAGGTTTCATATCCTATTGTGGAGGTCGCACAGGAGGGATGGGCAGCTGAGGTTGCCGCGTTGTCGCTCTGTTCGTCCCAAAGCCAACAGGCACTGCCCTGTGCAGGGCGCCACTCCCGCGCAGTTGCTAGTGTGGGTTGCTCGCTGGGGCTTGCTTTCTAGCAACGTACATGACCAGGCTGCGAGTAGGGGCAGGGACTGATCAAAAGCTGTCCTGGCAGTTTGGTCAGTGATCCTCCTCCTCTGGTTCTGGGAGATTGCCGGAGGTCCTTCCCAGATCCTTCGGGGGCCTTTAGAGGTTTCCCGAGGGCCCAGAAATATCAAACCTACGAGTACTTCTTTTCTCGACCCCTCGATTTTCGATCCTCCTCCTCCTCTTCCTCCTCCTCTTTTCCTCTTCCTCCCTCGTCCCCTGTCTGCAGGCACGTCTATAGATTCTCCCTGCCTGCAGGCAGTCGCGTACCCCAAGGGCAGCTCCTACAGGCGCTATTCGCGGGGCCCCTCTGGCTGCCAAGGCCCGTGGAGCCTATAGGTCGGATGCGCTCGCAGAGGAGAGGAACGCTGCGCAACCGCGAAAATCTACCCAACGGGTCAATCTCAATGGGTCCCTCCCTACCCCCCCCTCTCCTCCCTACCCTTTCTTCCCCTCCCCTTCCTCCTTCCTCGCCCTCCCCTCCCTTCCCTCTCCCCCCCGTCCCCCCCCCCGCCTCGTACCCCTCTTGCCCCAGGGTGGGGGGGAAGGACCCTCCTCGCCTCCCTGTCCCGTCCCAGTCCGTGGGGGTGTGGGGGGGAGGACCGCCGCCTCCGCGCGGAGCTCCGCGACGCAGCCCGTGCCGCGGCTGGCGCCGTGGCAGTCGAGGACCATGGTCTTCGACGTCGTTTTCGTGGTCGTCATCGTGATCGTGGTCGTCGTGGTCGTCACCGTGGTCGTCGTGGTCGTCGTGGTCGTCGTGGTCGTCGTGGTCGTCGTGGTCGTCGTGGTCGTTGTGGTCGTCGTCGTCGTCGTCGTCGTCGTCGTCGTCGTCGTCGTCGTCGTCGTCGTCGTGGTCGTCGTCGTCGTCGTGGTCGTCGTCGTCGTGGTCGTTGCGGTCATCGTGGTGGTGGTCGTGGTGGTGGGCGTGGTCGTGGGCTTTGTCGTGGTCGTGGTGGTGGGTGGTCGTGGTGGTCGTTCGTCGTCGTCGTCGTCGTCGTCTTCTTCGTCGTCGTCGTCGTCGTCGTCGGCGTCGTCGTCGTCGGCGGCGTCGGCGTCGGCGTCGGCGTCGGCATCGGCGTCGACGTCGGCGTTGGCCTCGGCGTCGGCGTCGGCGTCGGCGTTGGCGTCGGCGTCGGCGTTGGCGTCGGCGTCGGCGTCGGCGTCGGCGTTGGCATTGGCGTTGGCTTCGGTGTCGTCGGCGGCATCGTCGTCATCGAAGTTCGTGTCGTCGTCGAGGTCGTTGATGTTTGCGTCGTCGTGGTCGTGGTGGAGGTGGTCGTCGTCTTGTTCATCGTCGTCATCGTCATCGTCGTCATCGTCGTCATCGTCGTCATCGTCGTCATCGTCGTCATCGTCGTCATCGTCGTCATCGTCGTCATCGTCGTCATCGTCATGGTCGTCGTCGTGGTCGTGGTCATGGTCGTGTTCGTTGTCTTGATCGTCGCTTCCTTCCTGCTTCCACAACTCGGCTCCCTGGGGGGGCGGATGAAGCCTTCCCAATAACGGAGAGTGCGGGCCCGACCCCATCTGCCCTGCTCCGCAGCCTCGCAGAGGCCAAGCGGGCAGACGCTGATCGGGCCCGTGGGGGAGCACCACTCACTGCCGCGGCCCCCGCGGGCCACGCCGGGCGCCCCCCCCTCTGCACACGTGCCGAAGTGCACCCTAGTACGTGCTGGGCAGACGCAACCCGTATCGCTTGCAGGATAGATCAAGTATCGCCATCGTCGCTGGACGATACTGCGCAATGGGCCTCGAAATGGGGTTGTCTATATATATATATATACTAGAACCATCGCGCGCGCTTCGCGCGCGCTCAGGTTCTACCCAGGCCGGGGGGGCGCTGGACGATCTTGGACAACGCTATCAAGCACAGGCGCGCGACGGCATCTGAGGAGCTTCTGGGGTGTTCCGCATGCTTCGTCAACTGGCTGTTGGAGGCACCTCTTGGGTGCCTCTTGGGGGGTCGTCTGAGGGTCCCTTCGGGGCATCGGTTCTGCAATCTGAAGCCGTCATTGACCGTCTTGGCTGCGTGGAGGCCCGACTTGAGGCCACCTGCGGCCAGACTGAGGCAATCCGGAAGCCTCCCAGGGGCCTCCTGGAAGCAGTTTTGATGCATTTGGGGCACTCTTGGGCTATTTGAAAGCCTCTTGGACGTCTCCTGGTGGCCTTTTGGGCCCTCGGGGAGCTTTTGGGGTCCTCATCGGACCACTTTGGGGCCTCTTGCAGCCTCCTGTGGGCCTTGTGGGGGGACGGCTCTGCTGTTGGGTCGCGTTCCCCTTCTCGGGCCTCTCTTGGGGCTCTTGGGGCCCTCTCGGGCCGTCTTGGGCGCCTCAAGCACCGTCTTGGGGCCCTCGCGGGCCGTCTTGGGGCCCTCTTGGAGGCCTCCTCCTCTATGTGGGAGCGGTATTGGAAGCCTTTGGGGCCGTCTTGGAGCATCGGGATGCCAAAAGGCAGAACAAAAAAACGTCAAAGCCCAATCGTAAAACAATGAGTTGTGCCTCTCGGGGCCACCTTGGGAGATCTCTTGGAGCCTTGTCGGCCCTCTTGGGAGCTTCTTGGGGGCCTCTTGGATCCGATTGGGGGCCTCCTGGGACTTCCCGAGAACCTCTCGGGGTAGAAAGCTCGGATTCTCGGTTCATGTTTCCCTTCTTGGGCCTCTCTTGGGGCCGTCTTGGGGCCCTCTCGGGCCGTCTTGGGCGCCTCAGGCACCGCCTTGGGGCCCTCGTGGGCCGCCCAGGGCCCTCTTGGAAGCCTCTTCGGCTATCTTGGAGCTGTCTGGGAGGCCTCTTCCTCCTCCTCGTCCCCCTCCTCCTCCTCCCACTCCAGCTCTCTCTCTCCTCCTGATCTTCCTCCTTCCTGCAGCGTGTTCCGGAAGGCTCCCGCCGGAACATGCTGTGCACAAGTGCTGTCACTGCTCCCGCCACCGTGCCCTGGGTGGTGGGTCAGAGGCCTCATGGGTGTTGGTTTGGATCTCGTGGTTGGCCTGTCGGGGACGTCGTGAAGGCAGTTTCGCAGCTTCTCGGTAGCCGTTTTGGGACCGTTGTGGGGCCTCCTCGGGCTGCTTAGTGGCCTCTTTAGGCTTCGTTTGGGCCTCCTGGGTGCCTCTTGGGGGCCTCCCAGGGCCTCTTTGGGGCTCCTTGGGGCCTCCTGGGGCACTCTTCAAGCGGGAGGGTCGAATTGGAGTCGTGGTCCCCCTCTTGGGCGCATTTTGGGGGCCGTCGTGGGGCTCTGTTGGGCTGTCTTGGGCGACTCTGGGGCCGTCTTGGGGCCCTTTTGGGCCGTCTTGGGGCGCTCTTGGGGGCCTATTGAGCCGTCGTGGAACGTCGGACAGCCGAAAAGGCCCAAATCGGTCGAAAACCTTCGTAAACTTGACGATTTCGGCCTCTGGAAGCGCTCTGGAGAGGCGTCTTGAAGCGTCGTGGAGTGCCTTGGGGGGCCTCTCGGGCCGTCTTGGGCCTATCTTGGGCGTCCTGGAGCGGTCTTTCGGCGACTCGGGGCCCGCTTGGGCCGTCTTGGGAGCCTCTGGAGGCCCTCCTGGACTATTTTGGACCTCCCCGGCCGCCCCTCCTCCCATGGGGGGTCCGGAGACGGCGCCCTCCGAGGCCCAGGACGCGGAAACTCTTAAAAAAACACAGGGAAAATGAGCCCCAGTACCCCCATGGAGGCTTTTCGGCGCTCTTGGACCGATGGGAGCTCGAAAACGCGAGAAGCCAAAAACATTGAAAAGAACATTGAACATATACGATTTTGGCCTCTCTGGGCCGTACCGCGATACCTATCAGACTTCTTGGGGTCTCTTGGAGGCCACTTGGGAGCCTCGAGAGCCGTCGGAAGGCTGACTTGGGCTGCTCGGGAGCGTCTTGGGCCATCCTTTCGCATTCTGGGGGCTCCTAGGGGGCGTCTTGGGCCCTCCTGGAGCGCTGTGGAGGCTGCCCAGAAAGGCTGGGGCAGCAGTGCCGGGAGCGTCCCCGAGATGTGGCCATATCTTTTCAGCGCGTTCCAGGAGCATCTTCCCGGAACGCGCTCGTGGCAGGGCGCCCACGTCCGAGGACGTTGGCATGGGAAACCGCAGCGCGTGATCATTCCAGCGCGTTCCGGCGAAGACCGTCCGGAACGCGCTTGGGCAAGCGCTGGGTTTGAGTAAGGCGAGTGGGAACCGTTCAGGCAGTTTGGGATGCTCGGGGCAAGAGGCGGAAGCCATCCTCAGAAGACATGTAGTCTTCCTGGAGCCGTCTTGCAGAAAACAAAAAAATGAGACCCTGCAGTCGTTCCTGGAGCCGTCTTGGAGCTCTCTTGGGCTGCCCTGGAGCCTGTTGGAGCCCTCTGCGGAATGGTCTTGGAGCCCGCGCCGAGGATCTGGAAAATGTCCGGGACCATCGCGGCGGCCTCCGAGGCCCGGGACGCCGAACCCCCGTGAAAACACAGCGAAAATGAGCCCCGGTACTCGCATGGAGGGTCGGGCAGCTGTTTTCGGGCCCCTGGGTTAGAACCATCGCGCGCGCTTCGCGCGCGCTCAGGTTCTAGCCCAGGCCGGGGGGCGCTGGACGATCTTGGACAACGCTATCAAGCACAGGCGCGCGACGGCATCTGAGGATCTTCTGGGGTGTTCCGCATGCTGCGTCAACTGGCTGTTGGAGGCACCTCTTGGGTGCTTCTTGGGGGGGCGTCTGAGGGTCCCTTGGGGGCATCGGTTCTGGAATCTGAAGACGTCATTGGCCGTCTTGGCTGCGTGGAGGCCCGACTTGAGGCCACCTGCGGCCAGACTGAGGCAATCCGGAAGCCTCCCAGGGGCCTCCTGGAAACAGTTTTGACGCATCGAGGGTACTCTTGGGCTATTTGAAAGCCTCTTGAACGTCTCCTGGTGGCCTTTTAGGCCCTCGGGGAAGCTTTTGGGGTCCTCGTCGGACCACTTGGGGGCCTCTTGCGGCCTCCTGTGGGCCTTGTGGGGGGACCGCTCTGCTGTTGGGTCGCGTTCCCCTTCTTGGGCCTCTCTTGGGGCTCTTGGGGCCCTCTCGGGCCGTCTTGGGCGCCTCAAGCACCGTCTTGGGGCCCTCGCGGGCCGTCTTGGGGCCCTCTTGGAGGCCTCTTCCTCTATATGGGAGCGGTATTGGAAGCCTCTTGGGCCGTCTTGGAGCATCGGGATGCCAAAAGGCAGAACAAAAAAACGTCAAAGCCCAATCGTAAAACAATGTGTTGTGCCTCTTGGGGCCACCTTGGGGGATCTCTTGGAACCTCGTCGGCCCTCTTGAGAGCTTCTTGGGGGCCTCTTGGATCCGATTGGGGGCCTCTTGGGACTTCCCGAGACCCTCTCGGGGTAGAAAGCTCGGAGCCTCGGGCCGTCTTGGGCGCCTCAGGCACCGCCTTGGGGCCCTCGTGGGCCGCCCAGGGCCCTCTTGGAAGCCTCTTCGGCTATCTTGGAGCTGTCTGGGAGGCCTCTTCCTCCTCCTCGTCCCCCTCCTCCTCCTCCCACTCCAGCTCTCTCTCCTCCTGATCTTCCTCCTCCTCCTGCAGCGTGTTCCGGAAGGCTCCCGCCGGAACATGCTGTGCACAAGTGCTGTCACTGCTGCCGCCACCGTGCCCTGGGTGGTGGGTCAACGGCCTCATGGGTGTTGCTTTGGATCTCGTGGTTGGCCTGTCGGGGACGTCGTGAAGGCAGTTGCGCAGCT